GCATGCACGCACACATGCTTGGCGTGGATTTTAAGCCACTGGGTCCGAGACTCGAACTGTGGTCAACTACATGGGAGTCCAGTGATATAGCCATTACGCTAACTGCCGGTCCCAACCCTTGACTTTCAGTCTATGTTTGTCTTTAGCCATGAGGTGTATTTCCTACAGGCAGCATAGAGGGCTCTGGTCTTTTTGTCCATTCAGTCAGTCTGTCTTTTGATTGGTGCATTTACTCCATTACATTCAGCGTTAACTATTTGCAGACTTGTCTCTGTGCCATTTTGTTAATCATTATCTTGGTTTTCGTTTGTTTTGTGTTCTCTTGTTTCTCTTTGTCCTTATTTAGTTTTTCTGATATAGCATTCCTTTCAGTACTTCTTAAAGAGCTGGTCTAATGTTGGTGAGTTCTTTAGGTTTTGGTTTATCTGAGAATGATTTTAGTTTTTCTTCCTGTATGAAGGAAAGACTTGTGGGTTACACTATTCTTGCTTGAAATTGTTTTTCTTGTGGCTTTTTTAATGTATCTGTCCATTCTATCCATGTTTGCATTGTTTCACTTGAGAAGACTAATGGTCTAATGGAATAACTTTTATAAGTAACTTGATGTTTCTCTCTTGCAATTTTTAGAATCTTCTCTTTATCTGCAATTTTGACCTATTTGGCTACAATGTGCCATGGACAGGCTCTTTTCAGGTTGATTCTATTTGGGGTCCTTTGTATTTCTGGATCTGGATGTTTGAACGTTTCTCTAGGTTGGAAAATTTTTCTGCAAGTATTTAATAGAATAGATTTTTGATGCCCTTTTTAGATTTTTCACCTTCTGGGATACCAATTATTCATATGTTTGAGCATTCAGTAGTATCTAGTATTTCCCATCTGTTATACTCATTTGGGGGAAGGGGGCGATTCTTCTTGGTGATTTTGTCTAAGTCAGAGGTTTTTGTCTTCTAAATTAGAGATCATATCTTCTGCATAGTCTAATCTGCTATTAATACTGATAAGAGAAGTTTTGATTTCTTGTATTACAGTCTTCATCTCTAGAAGTTTCATTTGATTATTTTTAATGGTGCCTATCTCCTCCTTCAAGTTGTGGAAGAACTTCCTTATCTCCTGGAGTTTGTTATTTCTTTTCTCTTGCATCTCATTTAGTTTTGTCACTATGAATATTCTGAATTCTTTTTCTGACATATCTGTGACTTTTGTTGTGCTGTCCAAAGGTGAAAAGGAGTTTTTGTTCCCTTGAGGGAGGAATATTTTCTCGTGTTTTTCATATTTCTTGTGCATCTGCATTGGTTTTTAGTCATCTGATGAAGCACACTCTTTTTACTTTTTAAATGGATTGTTTGGTATCAGTGGAAAAGAACAATTCTTCTTCCCAGATGTGTTCTTTTAGGATGGGTCTTTCAATGAGAGAAGGGTGTACCTACCCAATTGCACTGGAGGGGCAGTGGGTCATGAGTGCAACTTATAATATTTTCAACTTATGATAGGCTTATCTGGACATACCCTTGTTATTAAGTTTAGGAGTATTTGTATACATTCTATTTATAGGTATTATTTACATTTTTACATATTATATATATTTGCTATATATTATATTTTATATATACATCCAATATACGAGGGGACTTCAAAATGTTCATGGAAAATATAATTAAAGTATGAAGTAACTTGGGTTCAAAAATTTTTTTAATCCATATAGTGATTCCCATAAAATATATTTTCCATGACCATGTGTGTGTTTGTGTTTGTGTTTGTGTATGCTATTGGTTCTTTTTCCTCTGAAAAGCCCTAACACACCCTCCATGCCCCTCACCCCCGGATATGGGATTCAAGTAGAGTTTGATCTGATGCTAGAGTTTAGTGTCATGCTCTTTTCCCAACATTTTGAAATTATCAGAACTGCATTTAATCCACTCCCTCATTCATTCAGGAAACATTTATAGCATATCTACAATGTGTTTAGTCTTTTGCTAGATTCTAGAATGCCACAAGATGATATAAATATGGTTCTTGCCCTCACAGGGCTTAGGAATGACTGCTAAGTAAACAGGGACATTATGAGAGACAGCAGAGATGGAAGATCCCAAGAGAACAAGGCTTTGGGGCATCCAGTCAAGGGTGGGGGTGGGGGGCTGGGAAAGGTCTCTAGAGAAAGTGGATATTTGAATTGAGACCTGAGAATGAAATTGAATTAGCCAAACAAAAAACGAGTAGGTTGTTCAGGCAAAGGAGTTGTGTAGGCAAAGATTCAGGAGTGAAGTGTGGAGGGCCTGACCTGGGAGTCAGAGACGGTGTGGGAGTGAATGGTGCCAGCAGTCCCTCTGCCACCTGTCAAGGAAGCACTTTCTGCAAGATCCCAGGGATAGGTGACAGTGGCTGAGGGGAGGGAGGTGTTGGAGCAGGAGGAGGAAGCCGGATGCCCAGATCCATCTCAGTGGAGAAAACTGGAAGTGAAGGCTGACTTGGCCAGACCTGAACACTATATTATGAGCTCGAGATGGGGAGAACATATCGTGGAAAAGAAGTAATTGGGGGACAAACACCATAAGTTAAATTTGGGCTTGTCAATTCGAGATTTCTGTGTGATACCAGGAGGCAGCTGTCTGGACATGGCTCCTCATCCCATTCCTCTGTCCTCCACTTGTCCACACATCCTCTTCCCCATCTCTCACTCCACTACTCCAGAGATTCCCCTCCCAACCTCCAGCCCCATGGCTGACATTTTAGAGGGCAAGTTACACAGGGAGGGTGGGCTGGACAACCCAGTCCCCTTTGGTCTGAAAATAATCAAATCCTAAATCTTCACTCAGTAAATGAAAGTGCTTCCTTGCCCCAAATCTTGAGCTTCTGCTTTTGCTGAGGTTTTATTTTTTTCATTTATTTATTCATTCATTATTCAGATTTATTGCACAAAAATACACATACGGGATCTGTCTGCCTTGATTTGACTGACAGTGGTGCCTTGAGGGCACTGAGGTTGCCTCACATACCCAGTGAATAGCTGAAGACCTGGAATAGAAAACCCACGACCTGCAGCAGGGACGTGTTAAAGGGCCCAGCACACTCCTGCAAGCTCCAGAGGCCCAGAAGGAAGGAAGTGTTTTCTGGAACCCAGCCCCTAGCACCTCTGGCCACCACATAGCAGAATGCCTCACATCCTGGAATCTGCATTATGCTTCTTGAATCTCCAGGCTCAGTACAGACCAAGGCTTTGGAGACCACTGACTGACTGCGGCAGTCAGGTGGCGAAGCCCCAGCTGGCTCTGTCAGGACTAAGTGCTTTTGACAAGGGCCACCCGGAAGCCACCACTGCAGGAAAGGAGTGGGAAGCCACAACTCCTCAGCAAGACCTGCCGTGGCCTTCCCAGGACCCTCAGTTACTGCAGGGGGGCTCTCTGTGGCCCCTGGCACTCTAGGCTGCTTCCAGATGCACTGTTTCCACTTAAGACACCACAGGGAGTGTGTGCATGTGTGTATAAAATAGAAAGTGAGGAAAAGGCAGAGAGAAGAGCATCTTCCTCCTACTCACCCTCTACCTTAAATCTCCACATCCTATTCAGAGGGCTTCCAGGATGGGATTCAAGGCAGCCAGTGATCATCTTTTTCTGACCACAAAACACTCTAAGCAGAACTGTTCATGTTTTGCTGGAGCAGGTGCTACACGGTTCCTATCTGTCCGTCTTAGTTTACAGTGGGGCCTCATTCTCCCTGGCTCCAGCTCCTTGGTAAGCACCCTCCTGCACCGCAGCCAGCCCCCTGAAGAAGTAACTACTCAGACCACGCAGCCTCTTGGCTCCCGGCCCTCCAGGATGGAGATGTCTTCAAGAGCAGAGCCGGAAAGGCTCACACACCGGGCTGACCGCCCTGCGGCCCTCCTTGCAGCCCTGGCAGGCTGTCAGTCTCGGCTAGGCTCGGAAGAACCAGGCGGGCAGTTAATCATCGGATGGCTCCTCCGCTCCTGCAGCCACCTGCAGTTTCCGGTTGTCCTATCCTACACTGATTTGGCAACCAATAAAATACTTTTGCGAAGGCAGACACCAGACTCAGTTACTTCTCACTCTTCCTGCTGCTCAAAGTGTGAGTCTGGCAGTCAGGAGAGAGAAACAAGATTCTTTGGTTTCAAAAGACGGACGCTTTTTTTTGTTTGTTTTGGGGTGGTTTTAGAAAGAGATTTTTTTGCTATAGGGCATGTGCAAACACTGCAAAGAAGAGAGACAGAAAGCTAGAAATCCCCCCCCGCCCCCTGCGGGTGTATGGTAAAGCCATAATCCCTTCTTCTCCATTCTCCTCTCTGGATGTTGGGCACATACGCACATGTGCCTGGCATGAGTGTTAAGTCACTGGGTCGGGGACTTGAACAACAGCCAACTACAAGGGAGTTCAGCGTTGTAACCATTATGCCACCTGCTGTCTGACGAGCTAGTTTAAGATTAGCACCGCCCTAACAGGGGCACCTTCTCCCGGCACCATTTCTCTCCTAGAGGCACCAGAGATCATATGACAGACTCTGTGTCCCTGCTCACGTGGTGCAGACCCAAAGGCACGGTCCGTCTCTAACAGATACACAGGAAATTGCAGTATGTCCTGCTAGCAAGGGCCTCACTTGTGGGTCGTCTTCCTCTCCCCTCTGTACCTCGCCTTGCTTTTCTTCCTCACTTGTTTTAACTTAGTTTTATTGCATCGCTTTGGGTTTGTTTGTTTGTTTCTCTGAAATCTTTTCTGCAAGAAATCTGGAAACCAGTTTCCAGGTAGTGTGGCTTGCTGGCCTTGGGGCTCCCAGCCCACCCTAAAACCTCTAGAGAGTACTAAAGAGCAACCTCCTGACTTTGTTAACCCTGTGCAGAAGGAAGCAGGTCATATTTCAAAAGATGAATTGTAAAACTTGAGCTGGGGACCTTGGGCTGTGATTGTGAGCTCGGAACAGGCCAGGTATGTGGAAGGGGCTACAGAGCCACTGTGGCTAGCCAGTCTTGACAAGCAGTCCCCCTTTGGGTCACCAGCGTGTAAAATGGAGTGATGGAGACCAGCTTCTGCAGTGTGACCTGAGGAGACCCTTGTCTCTCCTGAGCACGCTCACTCCAGCCTCCCAGCAGCACCTGTGCGGCCCCCACCTGCCAAGCCCTTCCTCTGCTCCACCTGTGCTTCAAGTTCAGGCAGGTCCCTGCTCATTCTCTAACCAGGACCCTACAGTTCACGAAGCACTTTATATACAACCTCTTTTTTTTTTTTTTTTTTGAGAGAGGTTTTTGCTATAGGGTGCATGCTGTCACCAGAAAGACAGAGAGAGACAGAGAGATGGAAAGCAAGAAATCACCCCCCAGGGGAGGATGGCCCTGCTGCAATCCCTTCTCCTCCATTTTCCTCTCAGGATCTTGGGCACACACGCACACACATCCAGTGTGAGTCTAAGTCACCACGTCTAGGACTTGAACCACAGTCAACTACATGGGAATCCGGCAACATAGCCATTATGCCAACTGCTGGTCCCTATATACAACCTCTTGACCGTCATCGATCGCAGTCAATCCAGAGACATGGACGGACTTAAACACACAATTTCATGATAACCGAATACCCCGTGGTACCTGGGGATTCCTTCCCTCCCTTAGCTCATCCTGTAGATATCTGTCTTGTCTCTCTAGCTATATTCTGACCTTCTTCTAGGTAAAGGTGACATCACTTACCGTGGTCCCCATCCACAACAGCCTCATCCAGAATGTCTCATGTCCGGACAGGAGCCAAGTTACATCTTAAACCCAAAATTCTAGACAATACAGGCAAAGAGTTTCCTTATGAGAAACTTCTGCTGTATTCAGAAGTTGATCCTTACAGAAAGAAAATGAGGATTTTTTTCCAGGCAGAAGAAACACGAGTTGATGTGCCCTCCGTTCCACTCATGTGGGTGGGCCGCCACCTGCAGCTCATAGATGTGAGGGTTCCTTATAGACCAGGCAAGTGCAGAGCTGCAGCCAGAACTGCAGATCATGGCCCTCTCCTGGCTAGAATGGGGCTCCTGCAAGTTTGGTGCACACCAGCACACAGTGGGTCTGCAGAGGACACCATGAACCAGCAAACCACCATGAACTACAAACACCTCCTTCCTGTCCCAGCATATCCTCTAAGGTCTACCATAGGCGACACAGCAAAGCAAGCCTGGCACCTCATGTTGTGAACCCCTCCTAGCAGAAGCTCCATGTGCTCTGGCCAGGGCCCACTTGGCTTGTCCATGTCACACTGAACCTGTCAGCTGTGATTCATACCCTCCTGTCTCCTGATGCCCCCTGAGCCAGGCTCCCATGCGCTCAACTAGCAGGCATTTAGTGACTTAGGTATTCATTAGCTAGAAACCTAAGGCCCTCCAGAAACTCAGGAAAGAGCAGTGGCTTCATCCCGCCACCATACCACAAACCACCAAAGGGAGTCAGCTGGAGGGAAGTTCAAGGCCAGTGGAAAACACTGTGGCACCAAGTTCAAGAGGGGGAGAAATAGCCTTGGGCCAGACTCATTTTATTCTCAGATATTAGTAATTACACAGAATAGAGGAGGAGATTTGAAATCATAATACTAATATCTTACACTTACAGAGAATTTAACTGTATGCCAGATGTAGTGCTTTGTATTGAAATATTTAATTATTATAATCACTTTCTGTGAAATATAATATTCTTATCACTTTACAGGTAAGAAAAGTGCAACGTGAACCCAGCCACAGTGGTACAAGCTGCTAAGCCACTGTGCTCCCCAGGGAGCCAGGGTTCGATTCCCCGTCTTACATAAGACGAGGCGTGATGGTGTGCACCTGTAATTCCAGCAACTCGGAATGCTGAGGCTGACCTGGCAGCAAGACAGTAAAACCAAGATGCAGAGAGGTTAAGTAACTTGTTCAGAGCTAGTGGCTGGTGGAGCTTGGGTCTGAATCTGAGAAGACTGCCATCAAAGCTCCTTTTCTGTAGCGGACACTGCTCACTGTCCCCCATCCACTCTCTCCTTCCTCAGTATTCTGGAATAACCCAGTTTACTCCACAATATTGCCTCTTAGAGTAAAAGGTTCCCCTACCTCCTAGACAGCTAGATGTACCTGTACGAATGAGCCCAGCCTCTGCCATCAAAGTAGAAGTGTGATGCGGAGACTCGGGAAGTTCTCTTAGCATGGGAAGGTATGTTTCTTCTTCTCCTCCTTGACTGGAACTTAGTGTGATGGCCGGAATTCAAGGAACTATTTTGGACAATGAGGTGACAACACTGGGAATGTCAGACTAGAGAGAGGACGAGTCGAGGTCACTGACGATATTATGGATCTGCCTTTCAGCCCCGATCAATCTACCTGCCATGACTCCGGATGGAAATTCACTTTCACCTTATTTAGACCACTACCGCCTGCTCTCTCTCATAAGCTGATGAATTTTTCCTACCTAATAAACTTTCTAATCCAATAATATGCTTTCATGGTTACTGTATAATCCTCAAGCCACATTATTAGAGGGATGACATCCACTTTATAGCTGGAAACATAGAGGCATAGGAATGTTAACTTCCTCAACCCAGGTGACCCAGCTGGAAGCAGCAGAAGTGGGTACCTCGGTGCCCAGGGCGGTGGATATAGGTGAACACACACCGACTGGGGCAGGCTGGCCACACCAAGGATTTGCTGACCCAGGAGTTCTAGGTTGAACTGGGAGTCTGAGCCAGAAACAACTCCCCCCATGATTCTAACACCCAGCTAGAATCACTGCCCTTCCCCCATGTAATGATTGTAGGACATTCCAAGAAAAGGATGGATGGAAAAGAACAAGAAGTAGAATCCCTGTAAGTCAGAGATATTCAGACAGTGGGAAGGAGAGAGAGGAGCAACCTCACAAACCAGCCTTTCCCATCAGTTCCAGGGAAGGGAACAGCCTTGAGCCATAGCAACTCGAATGCACAGCACCGGAAGGCAGGCGCCCTGGTCAGTATGGGGCTGCTGCTGGGTGATACCAGCAGTACGTGTCTGAAATGGGTCATGAAGTGCAAAGCCAAGTACAGGGGGCGCTATGTTACTGAGGTTAATCTGAGACAAAGGGGCTACAGCCTTCAGCTTCAGGCCATCAAGTGTGAGGCTCTGCTCACGGCTATGGTGTTTGTGAGTTCCTGGCCATTGGTTCCATCCTCCTCTGCTTCGCAGACCTGTTTTCATTGTGGAGACTGAAGGGGTGTTAACAGATGGAATAGGGAGCGTCTTCTTTCCTGTTCTTTTCTTTTACTTTGTTTTGACAATGATAAGAGATGAAATGGGTTGACACCTACTGGACTAAAATTACTCAAAGCTTGTGAATTGAGACCATCTGTAAGACAAACTGATGTATAAACCTTTTTAATGCCATTTTATTAATTAGCAGCACAATAAAGAATGTGCTGTTAGACATTGTGAAGTAGGACGGTGGCAGTGAGGAATCCAGAACCTTCCATACCCACACTGTGTTCTGCCCTAGCCACACCCTTCCCTCTGACTATCTCACCTTTCACTTCTGAAATGTTCCTGAGAGAGGGTGTCCCCACAGATGAGACCCTCTTATTCACTCATGTGTCCCATATGCATGATTTGAGCTCCTAGGATGAGCCAAGCATTGCTCTAGGCCTTCAGGTACTTTAGGGGAGATTTGCATTAAATGAGCCCAGAGTGGTCACCTGTGTGGCTAGGCCCAGTTATTGGGAAGTCTCTTTGGGCTCTTTTCCTCAGGCTACACTCCTTTTCCCGCTTGGCCCACTCCTGCTCCCCTTGCGAGACCTCCAAGAGGGATGTAGTTTGGTAGTTTCCCCAGCTGGTGTGCTGCATTCACACCAGACTTCCAGATAGCAGAGCAATTACCCAACAGAGGCATTGGGCCCTCTGACCACATAATGCTCCTGGAAGCAAGGGAATGAGAGAAAATGAGAAAAAGAGACAGTGAGAGAAGTGGAAAAGGAGAGAATCAAATAAAAATCTAAACCTAGACCCAAGATCAATCAGTCTCCAACCCCCACCCAGAGTTTATCATACTGCTTTTGGGCTGTGGTTTGTGTGAGAGACAGGAGAAAGGCATGGAGAGGGAGAGGAGCCAAGACGAGGAGGCTGGCTCTCTCCCCCGGGGCACTGCACTGTTGGCCTCTGTGGAGAGTCAATCATTCGTGTGAACACTCAGTATGATGCTGCTGTGTACCCAACACTGTGCTTGGGGCTAAAAACACAGCCCAGCAAGGCCTAACCTTTACCTGCGATAGCCCGTGGCGGAGAGCCCTGAGAACAGGGATTTACGATGCTGCTGCTACCCAGTGTGTGCTGCACACGAGTAGATAGGGCACATTTTTGGAGCACAGAGAAGGAACAAAAACTCCTACAATGTTTGGGAAATGGCAAAAAGTGTTTTTTTAATGAAGCAGTTCTAGTTTTAAAATACAAATAGGAGGTTTCCAGGTCGGAGGGTGGGTGGAGCAGGGATTCCAAAAGAGGGAAGCCTTGGGCACAAGCACAGTGGCAAGGAAGCTGAGGAGTCAGAGCACCACAGATAACTAGGGGCGCCCCTGCAAGCCAAAGCCTGGTGGAGCTGACAAGACACTGTACTTTAAGAGCAGTTTTCCAAATAGCACAATTTCACCCTTAAAAATAGTTGTAATCCCTGTATGGAGCTGAAATGATATTCCAATTTTAAAAAGTCCTTTAACAGGGACTAGCCACCATGGTACAGTAGTAATATGGTGCTTGTGATGCTGAACCCACATAGGAAAATACAGGGTTCAAGTCCTGAGACCTCCCTGGACACATGGGACATGCAAATGTGCCCATGATCCAGGCTGGGTTGAAAGTGGGGGTGGAAACTCTCCTGGGGCTGCCTTTCTTTCTCTCTTAAAAAAGGAAAAAGAAAAAGAAAAAGAAAAAGAAAAAGAAAAAGAAAAAGAAAAAGGAAAAGGAAAAGGAAAAGGAAAAGGAAAAGGAAAAGGAAAAGGAAGGAAGGAAAGGAAAGGAAAGGAAAGGAAAGGAAAGAAAAGAAAAGAAAAGAAAAGAAAAGAAAAGAAAAGAAAAGAAAAGAAAAGAAAAGAAAAAAGAAAAGAAAAAAGAAAAGAAAAAAGAAAAGAAAAGAAAAGAAAAAAGAAAAGAAAAAAGAAAAGAAAAAAGAAAAGAAAAGAAAAGAAAAGAAAAGAAAAGAAAAGAAAAAAGAAAAGAAAAAAGAAAAGAAAAAAGAAAAGAAAAGAAAAGAAAAAAGAAAAGAAAAAAGAAAAGAAAAGAAAAGAAAAGAAAAGAAAAGAAAAGAAAAAACAAAATATGTGGGGCCAGCAAGTGGCATGGCGGTTAAGGTGCTGGACTCCCACATGGCCAACCATGAGTCAAGTCTGGATCTGGCAGCTCGCTTTCTCACTTTCCATTTCTCTCAGTGTCTCCCTCGGATGAATTAAAATAACAATAATAAATTTTTTAAAAAAATAAATAAGTAAACTATAGATATAATTACTTCAACAAAGATAAGCAAGTAACCCAAAACTTACCTACTCACTGGATACAAATATGAATCAGATTCCAATTTGTAACCAGATTTGTATGGCTCTGAGTCTTTCTCATCCTGATGGTCCCACTGCCCCCACACACATGCCCCCCCCCTCTCAGTGTCCCTGGTTACCTCTGGGAGGCCCCAAATGATGCCTCAGACGAGTCCCCCTGGGTCCCCCTCAGCTCTGGGTGTCAGCCCTCGGCCTCTGCAGCCTCTGTGCAGCCTGGAGGAGCCTTCCAACTGATACCTGGGGCCACCAGGTCAGGGTTGAGACCCACCAGAATGGGACAATGTCCTCTCTCAAATTTCATCCTTTAGCACCTTAGCCCAGGGAGGTGGCTCTTCTTCCCAAAGCCTCACAAAATGAACTTTGAAAACAATTCCGTAAGTTTATAAGCTCTCCACCCCAAGAGACCTAGCGAGTGTGGGCATCACACTGTCCTCAGGTCTCCCTCTTTCTCCTCTGCCCTCAACCTGTGAACAACATCACTCCTTGCTGCTTCCCAAGTGCAAGAGTAAAGCTCTGCCAGCGTGTAAATGAGGGAAATCAATGGGGTCGGGATGAGGGGAGAGCACAGGATATTACCTTGGATGTTGCCTTCAGTACCAGCCAGAAGGCCCAGCAAGGGCTGGCATTCCTTTGGGCAAACACAAAGGAAGATAAAATATAGACTGCCCTCCCTGGACCTAGCAAAGGAACTGGAGCCATGCAACACAGTTCATACACATATGCACAGGAGGTGACAGTGCAGCCTGAAACTGCACCAGAAATCTCCTGAAGGCATGCTGCATGCTGGTGGTCTATTTCATTTTATATTGTTTTATTGGAACAAGAGGGTAAGGGGAGGTATATTCTTAAAGAATATTTAATTTGCATGTATCTCACTTTTAGAGCCTATAATCCACATGGTTCTAAATTTCAAATGGAGGAAAGAATATGCAGTAAATACTTCCTGTCTCTGCCCTCAAACACACAGTTTCCTTCCCATAAACACCCAACAGTGATAGTTCTTACAAAAGTGTTCAAGATGCACATTCAAGCAAAGGCCCACGCGTATGTTTTCCCTTTTCTTTCACAAATGGTAGCATTTTTGCACATAATTTTATACGGTATCTTTCCATTTAAGAACGTTTACAGGGGGACCAGATGGCATGGTAGTTAAGGGTGCTGGACTCCCACATGGCTGACTGAGGTACAAGTCCTGGATCTAGTGACTTGCTTTCTCACTTTCTCTCTCTCTCTCTTTCTCTCTCTCTCTCTCTCTCTCTCTCTCTCTTTCTCTCTTTTCCTCCCCCAGTAAAATTAAAATATAAATTAATAAATAAATAAAGTTAAATAATAGAATACTTCTTTAAAAAATGTCTATGGACTGGGACCAGCGGTTGGAGTAATGGCTATGATGCTGGACTCCCATGTAGTCGATCGCAGTTCAAGTCCCAGACCCAGTGGCTTAAACTCACGCCGGGCGCATGTGTGTGCGTGCCCAAGATCCCAAGAGGAGAATGGAAAAGAAAGGATTGAGGTGTAGCCATTCCCCCGGGGGGTGATTTCTTTTTTTCTGTCTCTCTGTCCCTCTCTGTTTTTCTGGTGAGCACACGTGCCCTATAGCAAAAACCTCTCTAATAAAAAATAATAATAATAATAATAATAAAATAAAAAATAAAAACTATGGGACCAGCAGATGTGTAAGATTATGTCACTGGACTCCCACATGGCTGACCATGGTTGGAGTCCCAGATTCGCCAATTTGAAATTCACGCCAGGCACAGGTGTGTTCATGCCCCAAATCCCAAGAGGCGACTAGAGAAGAAGGGAATTACACCCCTAGAGGGTGATCTTTTGCTTTCTGTCTCTTTGTCTCTCTCTATCTCTCTGGTCCTATAGCAAAAGTCTCTCTTAAAAGAAAAAGGAAAAGAGAATGTTTCTAAGGATA